CCCCCCCCCCCCCCACACACACACGACTTTATCAATTGAGCGCAGGAGATTGAGAGCGCGATTTTGAGCTCGAACTTGTGAAGGTGGCAAGGACAGTTATCCCGATTAGACCACATGTTCCATAGAATCCATACCAAAGTAACTTACTTTGGAGAGCGCAGTCCCTGCAACAAAGGATTAGGGAAGCATATTGGAAAGACTTTGCGCTTGGTAAAGTAAAGGGACGAGCAGAGCAAAAAGAACATGCATGCCCGAAGATGTCTCAGACTATGGTATAGGGTGACCGATGGATAGGTATTCCTAACGTCCAGCGGTGAGAACAGACACTATGTCCTGACTGATCGACAAGTTCACATCACCATTCCGTTAGTATGATGTTTTTTAACTTTTATTGCATTAGGTACATTAGGGGATGTGAAGTATGTCAAAAGAACAAAAGCACCACTCATGCAGCATTTAGGCCTAGTAAACCGTAAGCACACGGTCCCAGCCTTGCAGAAAAGTTTTTTGTCGCCACAAGCAAAACTCGGAGGAGCCGCGGGGCCCGGGGCGCTGTTGAAAAAAAAAAATAGAAAAAATGGCGGCTTCCAAGGTGGTGCGGGTTTCATGGTTGACACACACCAATGGTGTTGAAAAAAAAAAAAAAATCCTTGCCACCTTGGCGTCCATGAAGTCCATCCATTGAAATGGCCCTCCGCTGCGTCTGAAGGATTAAGGAGCGGTGGCGGGACCAATGTATCGTGTGTACTGGTGACTTAAATACCGCTCCTTGTTCCTTCAGACGCAGCGGAGGGCCGTTTCAATGAATGGACTTCATGGACACCAAGGTGGCGAGCAAAAGGGGGAAGAATCAAGTCATGATTGTGGTCGACTGGCTTAGTAAAGGAGCTTGTGTTGTATTCATCGACCTGCCTTCGGATGGAAAACAGAGTCTGTCATTGAGAAGTATTTTGTGCGTACGACTACCGTAGCCGTTGGCGATCGGCGGATGTCAGATTCACGAGCAATAGGGAAACGAGAGTGATCCCGCGGTACGGTGCAGGATGAAGAGGTGGCCATACGCCCCAATGTATGTGCTGAACTTACACAAATCTGTCATTAACCCTGCACAGTCAATCCACTGGAAACAGGGCAATCAATGCTGGGAGGCCTTCTGATGTATAGTGGGACGCTGGACCTGCTTTCCAGCAGGTGCTGCTCCCCACCAATAGTCTGCTGGAGCACCCAGAACTCTTGCTAGGAGGGAGTGATCGTACCACCTGTCCTAGCAAAGACTCTTTTTTTTCCAAAAAAAAAAAAAAAATGCTACGATTCGCATTCTCGCAGTGCAGAGCAGTGAAGAAGAGGCAGCCGTTGTTTTATTTTCTTCTCTATGATGAATAGAATTGGCCGTTCTACACACACACAAAAAAAAAAAAAAAAAAAAAAAAGGATGTCAGAACATGGCGATAGGGATGTCAGATTCACTAAGCCAAAAACGGGGAGTCGATTTCAATAATCTTGCGACTACCGTAGCCAAAACAGAGTCCCCATCCATGGGCATTGGGCCTATGTTAAAAAAAAAAAAAGATAAAAAAGGGGGGTCCGTCATTGGCGATAGGGATGTCGGATATCGCTAGCAAAGTCTGACAACAGAGGATAAGGGAATGTGGTTCTGAGGGTTTCCCATGTCACCCACTAGACACCCTGACGCAAAACCCTTTTTCTTTTTTCTTGTTTTACCCTGACACAAAACCCTTTTTTTTTTTTTTTTTTTTTTTTTTTTATACCCTGACACAAAACTCTAAACATAACAAATGAACAAATTATTCCAACAGATTTTGCGCGTCTACATACATAAGACCGGATAAGGAAGATTGCGGATACGGAGTTTGCCCAAGGTTAGGGTAGCTAGTGCCTATAATAACTCAGTGCACCTGTCCACATGCAGAACGTCATTTAAACGGCGTTTAAGTGATGGAGACGAAAGACGGCTCATGGACAGCCTAAACCCTAAACCAGAAACACAGACTACCGCCTGAAGCGCGAGAGTCTGCATGAGATGTAGAAGAAAGATATATTAACTATTTCACCACCAAGAAAGTACAAGAAAACATCACATGTACCCAGGATACGATGATATCTTATTGCATAAACCATCCATCCATCACATTTTGTTGTCGGTGATTTAGTCTGGGTGAAGTCTAAGGAGTTCTTCAAGTTAACCAAGAAGATATTTCTCGAAACTGCTACCCACATATCGAGGACAATGCCAAGCGTGTGATGTAATTGTTGTACCCCTATCACATATGAGGACCTATCATCATGTATTTTATGCATCCAAGTTATACCCCCCCTGTGTCTGAGATGATTTCCCCTCATGTCAATCTATAACCTCCTCACATGGATGCTAGCTATTTTGTAGACCGTATTGTTGACGCACCTCTTGGAACAGGAAGGAGGGGAAGACCACAGAGAGAGAGAGAGAGAGAGAGAGAGAGAGAGAGAGAGAGAGAGAGAGAGAGAGAGGGTTATATGGAAGAGTAAGAGAAAGTGAGGGAGCTAAAAAGGAGTACAAGTGTAGATACCAGTACCACCCTCCAGAGTACTGATGGCTCCCAAGGGAGGAGTTAGTTGAGACTGCCCCCCACCTTCTTCCCCCGAATAGAACGTACGGTCATTATAGCTGTATTTAGAGTGAAAGATACCCCAAATACAGCTATAATGGCCGTACGCTGTAACCGGGGGAAGAAGGTAGGATATTATCACTACAACAAGATGGATCGCAGAAGCTCTAGGCTGGCCAAGAAAGTTATATAGCCTTTCTCAGCAGACTTTGAAACTAGGCCGGCGGGCGTGAAAAGATTTGACCGCTATCCACCCTGGTTCTCGTTCCAGTTCCAATCCCTGTGTCGGTTGCATGTACCGTATATCGGCGTTTTCCTTTGTCCGAGGTAGGTTCCGTTGCCAGAAAGGCGGGCGTGGGTAGATTTGGTAGGTACTGGTAGGGGTTAAGAAAAAGTGGGTAGAAGTCAGCAGCTAATTCCCAGGAAAGTCTGTCTGGGAACTTCTGGAAGTGACCAACCTTGCCAGAGGGGATTGGCCCATAACCAGTAGAGGAAGTCTGAAAGTGAATTGTTGGGTCCCAAAATCCAGTTGTTGAAGTTGTTGACATGTATTCACTTGCATAACACAGCGGAAGCGCTGCTGCGCTATTCTGTGATTCATTGTTGGGCGCGGCTGTAGGTAAGTAGTCGACGGTGCTGGGCACCAATAACCATAGCTAAGCCGAGTGAGAGAGCGCGAGTAACACCAGGAGGTATTCAAAAAGAGAGAGAGAGAGAGAGAGAGAGAGAGAGAGAGAGAGAGAGAGAGAGAGAGAGAGAGAGAGAGAGAGAGAGAGAATGGCGAGGGCTGGCTGGTGGTCATAGCCGCCCAGCATGTACAGAGAGTTTTGCGTGATTGAGTTGATTGGCAAAGGCGATCTTCGAGTTATCGTCTCACGCGTGTGCTTCCTGTATGTGCATCTTTTCTTTTTCTTCTTCTTTTTTTTCTTTTTTAGGCCAGTATAGATCTATTAGGAAAGTTCTATGTGCATATTTGGTGTCCGAGTCGTGCCGACGACATCGTTTATGGAGCAGATACATATTTGCTTCCTTGTTTTTTTTTTCGCTCTTTGGACAGTTTCTCAATTTACGTGTGCCATCCTTGCAAAGGGGCCATGCAAATCTTCTGTGTATCGTTTCAACAAAGGACATTATCAATGTATCTGAATGTAGAATGGTGCAGATACATTCGGACTGACCAAACATTTTGATTATACCAGGACTACCATCAGTCTCAGGTACATTTTTAGAATGCCATATAGTGGATCGAAGCCCCTTGTTTGCCAGCAAGCTTGCTGTATCTATTTACTCGCTGACCCATTATGCAAAAGGTACGCCGTTAACCTACATTCTGGTCGCAAGTAAAAGGCATCACTCTCTTCCTCCATGAGACCAACATTTATGGAGCACAGCACTCTGCTCTCCGCCCAATGTTTTCTTTTTCTTCGGTTTCTTTCTTTTCTGTTCTTTTTTCTTGTTTTGCTTTCGTTTTTGCTTGCTTACGCAAGGATTCAGCAACCTCGGTCACCCAGGAAAAGACCCCGCCCGCCCTAAATGAAGGGGGGCCTGCAAAAATGAGGCCTGGCCTGAGTAAAGGCCAGTGTGAGCAGGAAGGGCCCCTGGGTAGTTGCAACAAGCGCGCAACATCTTTTTTTCTTCTTTTTTTTTTTACAGCAACATCTTCAGCTAACCGGTAGCGCATCCCATGAGTTCAAAAAAAAAAAAAAAGAATGCTGGGCCTTGTGCAGATTCTGTGAGTGGCCAGGGTGCAGGAAACTGGGAAAAGGCGCAGCCTCCTCGGCCTCTCCAGCCAGCACAAAAAAGTGGAGGGTGCCTTGCACTGGACACTCGGGCATTCAGGCAATACGGCAGCGCTGTGCGAGCACCTGCTCGGCGAGGAAACTGCGCGGTGGCAGCGAGGTGAGGGAGAAA